CCCCAAAACCCCAAAACCCCAAAACCCCAAAACCCCTTATCATGAGTTTTTTATTGAATTGTAATTCATCCAGAGCAATAAATTATTACTTACGTATTCTTCTGCTCCGAGACTTTGTCTTCTCTGTGTTTTTAGAGGACTAGCGTACCTTTATTAAATGGGCTTGACAGGAGTGTAGGTCTAGGATAAGACTTCATCTGAGAGTATGCGTGCAACTCTTCAGGCATCAACACTGCCTTTTCAATTGCTCTTGCTGATCAAAGTGTATTAGCTTTTCTATAGAGACTAATTGCTCAAATTACGCTAAACAATCCTTGATCTGTTGAATTTCTTCTAATTGAGCTTCTTTTCCATTTTTGCCAAAGTATTTTGATATATTTTTATCTAAAAATCTCCTAGGATTACATACTTCTTGCTGAAATACTCGTATATGGGCCTGTACTATTTCTAAAAATAACGGTAATAATTTACGCATGGCCGTCATTCATATTGGTATAATAAGACAGTGATGCTACAAAGTGAGGAGAATGCCTACAGTGATCTCCTTGAGATTTAAAGATATTGTCTAACTTAATTTTGTCCTTTTTGCCCTTATTTTTGCATTTTAAGCCTATGATTTCAACACTTTGTTACCATAAAATTTCCGAATACTATTGATTCTTCCATATTTATCTTCAATCGTTTTAGCGTGAATGTCAGGAGTCTCTACTCTCTCCTCATCACCAGATTCTAGATTGAGTCAGGAGTCATACTTGAGTCCATCAGAATTATATTTGATTTCTCAACTTTACTTCATAATTTTTGGTTTTTATCTTCTGAGACATAAAAATAAGAGCTCTTGACAACATCTTGGAGTTCTGAAGGTGATTACAGTTAGCTACCTTGGATTCTGTTCGGCTTTGATCCTTTTTTGTGCTTTCTAAGGTCCCTCATCATGTTCTGAAATCTACCAAATTATACAAAACATTACTGTTTGCACTTATAAATCTGTTCCTTGAGCCTCGCTTGTCGATGAGGAGATGAGAAATTATCTTTCGAGTTATAGCCAATACTCTTGAATCGGTTGATCAAGTACTGACTTTCTCTGTTCCTTCTTGCTTCAGATTCTTTCTTGGACTTTTTATCACCCCATTTCTTCAGGTACTTCTTGAGTTTGATCTCTGCTCTGTTTTCTCCGTATCTGGGATGTTTACAGTCCCAATTTCCTCTTCTTTGGAGATTCTCAATATAAAGTTTTTCCATATTTTCAATAGACTTTTTGGCTACGCATGAATGCCTTATTCCTTACCTTCTGGAGTATCAAGTTTCTTCCTAGATGATTCATTGAGAATCCTAGACTTTTTATTTGAATATGCAGTTGAGTAAAAAGTCTTGAAATTAGTACTCTTGCTGATATTTCTCGTCACAAGACCTCCTTTATTATCCTTAGCAGCTATATGGGTTAGGTACTGTCATACAGATCTTCTGGATTCCTTTTAAAACAGCTTGAATGTCAGGATTTGCACCTTTATGACCAGATTTGTGAGAATTCATGTACTTCACAGGGCTCTCATTACTAGGTAAATTTCTTAAGATAGAACCGTCAGCTAGAGATCAGAAGTTAATGCTTACTATTAATTCTCTTTACGCTGGATTTATTTCCTCACTGGCCTTTTTCCAGTATCTGATCTTTCCAAAAACCCGCTAGTTGTTACTTGTTTAAAGGAGTTTTCTTCAGAATTTTTCACTGTGCTGATATTGCTGCCTTCAACAATCATTTTATTTTCACTAATAGAAATATTTTAGGGGTTTTGGGGTTTTGGGGTTTTGGGG